CATTCCTGACCCAAAACAGGGAACCTGCCACCCCGAAAGGCTTTTAGGAGATGCTGGAAAGCTGTGTCCATCACTTCCCTCTGTAATCGCTGCAGCTACCCAAATCCTGGTGTGGTCCTAGGAGCTTCCAGCACAGACCTGCGCCCAGTGCCGGCTGTGAGGCTATAACCGCCGCCGTCCTTAGCAGTCCTGGCTCGTCTGGGCTGAAATGGGCTGGGAAGCACTGCGCAGGGCGCTCGAAGGGGCCGGAGAGCATCTCCTGGCTTTGGCACGTCCATCAATTACAAGAAGATGCTGATAATCTGCTAGTGACCGTGCATGAGCTAGATCCCACCCTAAAGCCAAATGATTCAAACCCAGCTCTTGGCCGGGTGCTCAGTCCTTCCCGAGGAGCGTTAAGCGCTCACGTTAGTGCCGGTGCGTGGCCGTGACCTGCTCTCCGCACCCAGGAGCTGCGCTCCCGAGCCTGGCTCCTACGTGCCCCTTCTGCCGCCGAGCCTGTGGTTAACTCTGGGGTGGGTTTTTTTGTTGTTTTCCTGGGAACTCGGATAATTAATCACTTGCAAAGTGCGCCGGGTTGTCTTTCTGGAACGCAGCGCTAGAGGAACCGCTGGCACCTGAACTTTATTTAACCCACCTCTGTGGAAGACCAGTAACTTCTTCTAAATATATATATTCTTAACCCTTGCCTGCCTTCGAGTTCCTTGGTGTAGCACCGCTCTGCCGCTTGTCTCTCTGTCTTTACAGATATGCTCGTGCACAGAAAAAGGGGGAGACGAGTCGTCTGCTCCTGGCGAGCGTGGCACGGCTGGGGCTTGAGCGCAGTGACGTCCCCGAGCCCCCCGAGGAGGCGGCCGCGGGGAGCGCTGGGCACCGAGAATTACCGGAGGCAGGTGCGAGAGCTGCTCTCGCCTTGCACAGTTAATTAAACGGATCGATTTTTGTTTGTTTTCTCCTGGCGCTTGCAGTTGTGCACGGGTTTAATAAGGATCTGAAAGCGCTGGTGCCGGGCGCGGGGGGGACCAGCTCCCGGCGCTTCTCCTCTTCGCCCCCGCGCATCAGCTGCTTCCCCTTCTGCCAGACCCGCACCGCCGCTCGTCCCATCTGCGGCAGAACCTGCCAAGTTGTGCCTTGTGGTTTGGTTTTCTTTTTTTTTTTTTTTAATCTTGTGAATAAACCTCCAGCGAGCACAAGCAGTGCTGGACTGCAAGGCTTTTGTTTGCAAGCCGAAGTGGGGCTTCTCCGGGTAGGAAGAGCATTGGGGAGCAGGTTTAAACTCCAATCCCTCTTCCTTGTGTGCTCCCTAAGTGGTGCCGAAGCCCTGCAGCAACGTAATGAAGGGCTGGACACCCTTCTTGTAGCAGGAACCAGACCTGCAGAGCGTGTGCCCCTTGAAATGTGGGATCCGGGAGCTTCTGCTGCAGACAGAGGACCCTGGCTCTCTGCTGGTTTGGCTGTGGTCGAGCAGCCGCAGCTCCCATTGCACGTGCAAAACGCTGATTTTAAAATATTGCTTGTCAAGGTGTAATGATAACATCTCGCTGGACCGAAAGAAACAGCTTGCTTAGCTCTCAGCTCTCTTGTTTTAGGTGATCTGACCCTAGGGAGTCTGTGTTTGGTTCCCTTTCAGCTGCAAGTAAATCTTTTAAACGTGAGCTAGGGAGACCAGAAAGTCTGGGAGATGTTGAAAGTTTGCATTCTGCAGGGTCTGCCGCTTTGTCAGATAAATCCTCTCCCGCGAGTGTGAGCCAGCCTGGGGCCAGATGTTAGACGTCGCAGCCTGACGCCCCGTTGCCTCCTGAACGAATTAGCTGCTCCTCGTCCTCCCCCGGCCTCCCAGGTTAGCAACAAAATCCTGCTAAGCGGAGATTGTCCGTAAAAATCACAGAATAACGGTGATTTCTGTGTGCCTGGAGATGGCATCTCCTGAAAAAAAATAATCACTTGATCCCCCAAGATCAGCCTTCCTGAAAAGAACTGCCTTTCTGGCTGGGGCTTGATGGGGAGCAGTACAGGTTGATTTAATAAATCCCTCCTCCCAGGGCACGCGTGCGTAAAAATGCACGTAAAACTCTGCACAGCGGTTTGTCTTCGTGGGGTGAAGGTGCTCTTGGCCTGGAGGAGGTATTGCAGCTACGCACTAATCTCTCCTGCGTTTCTTTTAAGCATCCTTTCTCCCAGTGCTGGGGAAAGTCGTTCCAGTTTCACGGTGTTGCCCTGATGTAAGGGCTCGGGGGACCTGGGCTTGATTACACGAGAAATGGCTGCAAGTCTCCAAATCTACCTGAGCCCTGGTTTCCAGTCTGCTGGTCGCATTTATCTCGGTTAGGTCTTGCTGAGCTGCGGCCACGTGCTCCCACCACCTCGGCGGCGCCAGCCATGGTGCGGGTCGGACGCTTCAGCTGCCGGAGAGGGGAGGGGATGGCGTGGGAAGGGCAGGACCTTCCCGCTGTGCTCCAGCGACCTCCAAGGTTGGGATTTTTGTTCTTCCCAGATGAGCGTGGCCGTCTGACCACTGGCCTTCCTCTTCTCACCTCTCCTGGACCGTAGCTTCTGCACCCTTTCTTTTGCCTCTTTGCTTTAACTGTAAGCCCTCGGCTTGGGTTGTATCTCACTTGCTTCTCCGTCAGTAACATCCAGCAGGGAAGCGGCCCCAGCTATCTGCCTGGAGGAAAAATGCTAATATTTAGCTGTTGATTTTCCTGCCTGATAAAAGTCCCCTCTCCTGTGTTCGCACCGGGGCTCTCTGTGTCCTCCTCTGCAGCGGCACAGCCGCCCTCCTCGCTGCGAAGGCTTTGCTGACAGCCGAGGCAGGAGCACTGCTGGGCAGCGAGTGCCTCAGTTTCTATTTAAACAGATTAAACTCATCGACAGTGTTAAATGAGTTTAATCTACTTAATTTGCCCCGTGGGCTAGTGTTATATAGATCCAGCGGCCCGCAGAGTGCATTGTAGGCATGCGCAAGCTGCTGGAGGTGGGATGGGGTCCTGCGAGCTTGATTTTCAGGTTTTGGAAATGCCTGTGCTTGAAGCTTGCGGGGTTTGACCTGGGGGAGGAATCAGCCCGGGGGTGCAAGTGGCTGAGGTTGTCTAATGGTTGCCCATTTGGGGCCCAAATTATTTGGGAGAGTTGTCAAAAGAACAGCCTTGAAAAGGGGGAGAATTGGCATCCGAATATCAGGGAGGTGTGTGCCTGCTGCCTCCGGAGCTCTCCTGGAGGGAGGTGAGAGGATGGGCTGCCAGCTCCACCGCCCGTTTGCTCAGGAATCTGAATTTGCTCCCCTGATTTGCCCCACGTGCGCCCCTGTTTGCAGCACTTCCAGAAGCATCTCTGGTGACTGGGTGACCGCCTTCTACCCTAAATACTCTTTTTTTTTCCCCATCCTTCCTGTGTGCCCTCCTGGGATCATTTTTTCCCCTGGTTGTGCATCTTCTCTGGTGTTCCCATCCCGAGTCTATCACTGGGTTGAGACCTAAAAGGGAGCTGGGCTGAAGTTCAGAGCTTTGCAAGGCAGCTTGGGTCGTTGCTGGCTGCCTCTGCTTGGCTTGCCAAGACGTGGCCTTTATCGTGCCAAGCTCCTGGTTGACCCTGTCTTTTTGGCCTTGTGTGGGTTGCTGCCGGCCCCCGCCTGCGGCCGGTGAGGCAGATGTGCCCCTCGCTAGCCAGAGCCCACAATCCGGGCTGCCGTGGACGTGTCTCACTGCTCTGTGCTCTTCCCCAGGGAGCTCAAACTGCGAAACTACGAGCCCGAAGATGAGGAGCTGAAGAAGAGGAAGGTGCCCCAGGCCAAGCCGGCCTCAGGTGGGTGCAAGCAGGACCGTGGGAGGTGAAACGAGGGAGCATGAAAGCAGAAGCATTGCCGACGGTGGTGCTGGTGCCTGTGGTGAGGGAAGGTAGCAGCGCTTGTGGGTGTGAGGACAAATAAAACAGGACGGGACTCTGCATCCAGCCAGCATGCTGCAAAATGGATGGGTTATACCTTTTCTTTCCAAAAATCAAGTGGCTTGGAAACCTCTGTGTTCCAGCTCGCTCCAGCCCAAGGTGGAGAAGCCACTGGGACGTATTCTGGTAGCAGCTTGCTGGTGTGAGGCTGGTAGGTCCTGGGAGATGAGTCTCTGCAGCCCTGGAGGCTGCCGGCGTGTCTGAGCGGCCGTGGTGGGAGCTGGGCGAGCGTGATGCTTGCGGGCCGCGTTGCTTCATCATCCCCTCTCGCCCGTGGGGGCTGCACACCCGGCGTTGCGCTAGTGGGGTGTGTGTCTGAGCACACCCAGTCCAGCCCCGAACCGACGGGCTGATACTCGGAGGAGCCGAGCTCTCCCTGGAGGATTCTCAAGGAGATTCAGGCTGTTTTCTGTTTGAATTACCTTTAAACAAATGTTTTAAGTCCGGGGCGTTCAGTCTGCGATTTCTTAGCACTGAACCTCTGTGCAGCTCTTGAGAGGGAGGCGAAGGGTAGAAGTTCCCTTGATCTTGAAATATTGAGTCCTCCTGGAAGAGATCTCTTTAAAAATGCCCTCAATAAAAAGGCTGCCTTTGGGAGCACGGCAGAGATCTGGTAGGTAGGAATGCTGACACTGCGCTTTCTTTATCCTTTTGTAAAACTTCAAACCCTGACTCTTCCCGGGCATGCGGTTTGGAATTGGGAACAGCAATTTTGACCGTTTCCAGTAAAACCCGCGCTCTCTGCCAGCCCTTCGGAGCTGCAGTGCCCATCGGCTGCGGTTCCCGCGCCTGGAGTAACCGGCCGGTCTGTCCTCGGCCACTTTGCGCAGAGGCAGGGGATGGAGGAGGACGGAGGAGCCGGGACTCGGTGTGGATTCATATGAGACGTGCCTTGGGCATATCCGCTTGCGGGGGCAGGATTCATCCCTCAGGGATGTGCTCCCTGGTGCCCGTATCCCCTCCATGCGCAGACACCCGAGCTGAAGGACGGAGGGCTGTTCCCCACGCGTGCTTTGCCATTATCCCCAGGATCCGCAGACCTTTATGTAAGGTCTGGGCTGGAGCTTGATTCCTCCGAGACGTCTCGGGCGGTGGCCTTGTAAATGAGTCACAGTGAGTCGAGTTCCCGTTTAAACACCTGCGGAGCAGCTGATCCCTGCAGGTCTTACGAAAAGGGGACTTGAACCCAGCAGGCTTCTTGCTGCCGTTGCTTTTTGTGGTGTTAAATGGTTGTTGGGTTTGCATCATTTGTGGATGATTTTTTAGGAGGCTCCAAAAGGGTTTGGGTGGTGGGGGAACGCGTGTACCCACGTGTACTCACTCATATTTACCCCGCTCTTAAGGCAAAGACGTTCAAATGGGCTTTTATAAAAGCTTTTGGGAACCAAGCCCAGAGCTGTGGTGGGTTTCCCTCTGCCTTGTCCCCTTGGTGGCCCGCTGCTGTGCTGATGCTGGTCCTGTTCCCCCATCTAGTGGAAGACAAGGTGAAGGACCAGCTGGAGGCTGCCAAGCCGGAGCCCATCATCGACGAGGTGGTACGTATATTCAGAACCACTCTGTGCCGGGTGCATCTATCAGCGGCCAGGCTTGAACCTCACCTGCAGCTCTCACTGGGTGTCTCCTCTTCCACCCTAGGATCTGGCAAACCTGGCCCCCAGGAAACCAGACTGGTGAGTGCCTGCGGAGCCCTACTCCGGGGAGAGGGGTGTTGGCATCAGCGGTGGGTTACCATCACCTTGAGGTTGTCCGGATTGGGTTAAAAGTGCTGGAAATGGGAAACCCTGCCCTGCTGTTGAGAGAGACATGAGGCACGGGGCTGTCCTCCCTCTTCTGCTTACACCGAGTGACTCCACTCATCCTTTTGGGGTGCTTGTCACCACGGTGGCCTCAGTGACAAGGGATGCTCTGGACATCGGGTTGGTTTGCCCATGGGCTGCCTTGGTGGCAGACACACGCTCTACTCCGTAGTGCTCGCAGGAGACAGGAGTTTCTCTTCCACTGGGAAAGGTGTAACGGGGCCCCTGCATTCACATCTGCCCGGGGTGAGGATTTGTTCTGACGTTGTCACTCTCCTCCCCAGGGATTTGAAGCGAGATGTAGCCAAGAAACTGGAGAAGCTGGAGAAGAGGACGCAGAGAGCCATCGCTGAATTGATACGTGCGTTGTGGTGCCACAGGGATGGCGTACGGGGTCACCGGTCGTTCCAGAGGGATTACACGATCCTTACTGGGAGCTCGGTGCCTTGCTCTTGGGCCAGGGGGGGACTGGCGGAGTTTGATCCCCTTCCCAAAAGGGTCTGTGAAGCTGTCGGTCCCAAGTAGCTTCCCCGAGGCTGCACGCACGCTCGGCTTGTGCGGCAGGGATGGCTGGTTTGTGGGTTCGGGGGCTCCCTCGTGTGGGTTCCCCGGTGTCTCTGAGCCGCTGCTGTTTCTCGCTTGCAGGAGAGCGGTTGAAAGGGCAGGAGGAGGAGCTGGCGTCCGCTGTCGGGTCAGCAAAGCAGGAGGGAAGCGACTCCGACTGAGGAGGTCCATCCCAATCCCGTTGCTCTCAGGTAGAGGCACCTCTTTGGGACACGCTGCTCACCAATGCTTTGCCAGAAGCCCATGAATCCTACCGTGCCTGGAGGAGAGGGGCAGATCCGAGGAGCCCTGCCGTCCTCTCTCAGACTATGGCTGTTCCTCTGTTGAGGAACGCTTCACAGATAGCTTTTTGGGACCACGGGGGGGCTGATGGGAGCAGGACAGACACCCATGTTAGCTTGGACGTAGGCTGCCAGGACTTGGAGCAAGGAAGCTGTGGGCAAAAGGGCCAGTGAGAAGGTAAATTCAGGCTACCTCTCACTTGATGGGTGAGCAAGGAAGTGCCCACACGGCCTACAGCAGCCCTCAGAGAGGCGCTGCCATTTCCCAGCGGACTGACGTTCCTGTTGCTGCTCAGAGACGCCTCTCTCGGGGCGCTCCTTTCTGCAGAAGAGCTGGTGTAAATGCCATGCGGGGAACAACGGGGTCTCTCGCTCTGGAGAGCCGGCCGTGAGTATTTGGGAACATCCACGGTCAGTCCCAGCATGTGCGGAATAACTCTGCTGGAGGTGGCTGCGTGGCTCAGGACCTGCTGGCCGCTCTGCGTCTAGCTGAGGTTAACGTGGGGTTTGTTCTGTTCCCTGAAATTTCCCGACCCTCCAGGCTGTGCAACGTGTACCACTCCTCCATACGTTTTATAATTGACAGAATTTCTTGTTCACAAAGCTTTTCGTAATAAAACTGTCCCGCAGCGGCAGAAGTTGTCACTTGTTCTGCAGAGGGCTGGGTGGAGGCAGCTCACTTCATCTCTCTTGTGTCTGTGGGGACTTCAGCCCGCTGTTTGCTGGTCCCTGTCCCCTTCACTTCCCTGGGACGGGGAGCAGCGGGCTTCAGTTCATGTAAGTTTGAGGCGGCCGAGCTGTAGCTACAGCAGGTCAAGCACAACTCCTGGACCCAGCAGCCTGGGGTGACGCCAACCGTCGTGAGCGGGTGGGATGCTGCGGAGCTGACCCTGCGTCTTCCCTGGGAACGTTTGCTCTGGCTCTTGGAGATCTTGGATGTCTTGGCCAGACCTGATTGCACAGGCTCCCGAATCCTCTGTGTTTGATTCAAAAGTGGTTTTGTCCTGAGGTAAAACATCTGGTGCGTATGGCTTTGACAGCAGTATTTACAGAAGAGTTAACCTGTGATAAAAATAGCTGTTGCTGTGAATGCACGCATCCTGCTGCTTTTAAAAGCCTGTTGAAAAGAGCTGCTGGGAGGGAGAGGTCCTTCACGCGGCAGCAGCCGGCCTTGGAAGGGGATGGCGTTCCTGTCCTCACGCCTGCTGGATGCAGCTGCCATCTCAGGTTGTCACCAGCTAGACCAGGTCCCCACGCAGGGCAAGATCAGTCCTGGCCATGCTAAATACTGACTGACGGACGCTTGTCCCTCTGCCAGGATCTGCTGTGACTGCCCGCCGCTCTCTGCTTGCATGTGGTGAGGACACCCGAGGGGCTCTCCACCTGCCAGAGCCCTGTTCCTCCTTCCAGATGATGGGCTAGGAGCAAAGATTGGGTGAATCGCCGCCTTGTTCCTCCAGCTTACAGCCCTCCGTCCCCAGCTGCCTCCCCTCTCCCATGGCCGCCTGTTCCTGGTGTTTGCACCACCCCTGCTCCATCCTCCCCTGGGGCTGGTGCTTGTCACCCCGTGGAGGGGCCCGTTCCCAGGTCCGTGGGGCCAGCAAGGAGACAGACGTCTCACGGAGCGAGTGGAGACCCGTACCCACCTGGGCCAGCGGTGATCCAGTTTTGGGTTCAGTGTTGGGCCCCTCACCCCAAGGCGGCCATGGAGGGGCTGGAGCGTGGCCAGAGCAGGGCAGCGAGGCTGGGGCAGGGGCTGGAGCCCAAGGCTGGGGAGGAGCGGCTGGGGGAGCTGGGGGGGCTCAGCCTGGAGAGGAGGAGGCTGAGGGGAGCCCTCATCGCTCTCTGCAACGGCCTGAAAGGAGGCTGGAGCCGGGGGGGTCGGTCTCTTCTCCCCAGGAACAAGCGATGGGACGAGAAGGAACGGCCTCAAGCTGCACCAGGGCAGGTTTGGGTTGGGTATTAGGAAAAACTTCTTCCCCGAAAGGGCTGTCAGGCCCTGGCCCAGGCTGCCCAGGGCAGTGGAGCAATCACACTCCCTGGAACTGTTCAAAAAACGTGTGGACGTGGTGCTTAGGGACAGGGTTTAGAGGTGGACCTGGCAGTTGGGTTAGCGGTTGGGCTTGATGATCTCAGAGGTCCTTCCCAACCTCAATGATTCTGTGATCCAGCACCAAGCTCCAGCGTTGGTGGGTGGTTGTGGGTTCCCTCTGGGCTCTCTAGTGGAAAAGCACCTGGGGCGAAAGCCGAACTGCCTTCTTGGGGGTCATTTTTGGGTTATTTTCATTGTTTTACCCTATTCATCCCCAGGCAGGCGGCAGCCCCGCTGCCCCTCACTCTTCTTGTCCTAGGTCAGACTGTTTCTGGGCAAGAAAACCCAAGATCCTGGAAAAAAAACCCCTGTGCTGCAGGGTCAGGCGGGTGCTGCTTATCGTGGGTGCTCTTGGCCATCAGGGAACGCTGCCCTGTGGGTCCGTCATGGAAGATGGCGGGTAGATCCTTGGGGACATCCTCGGCACGGCGGTGGTGCTTTGAGGATGCTTAAAAATGAAAGAGACCCCCCTGACTCGTGCCAGCGATGGCTCCTCCGCCACCAAAGCGGAGCTGCTGGTACTGGAGATGAGTGTTCAGTGATCGCTCGGGCGTATTTGTGGTGGGTTTTAATGTCCTGGGCTGTCGCACACCTTCACGTGCATTTCTTCATCGGGAAGGGAATTAGGGGAGCGTGAAGACGCGTCCCCCGTGGAACCACGGCCTCTTCTCCCTGTGAAATGCCCTGTAGATGTCAGTAAATCTCCGTGCACAAAACCGCTCCGAGTCCGGCTGGTCCCAGCAGCTGGACCCTGCGCAAAGCCGAGCTTTGCGTCCCCGGCAGCCGCTCCGGCCGGGATGCTGGCACGCTCCTCCATCCGCCCGGCTGCGTGGTACCCGCGCTGCCCTTCCCTCCCCGGCTGGAGCTGTCAGCCTCTGCTTTGCGACATGTATCAAATATAAATACGAAGCCCCCGTGCAGCGGTGTGAAGCAGAAGAGAGTTTTCCCTCGTTTCCTCGTTTAAAGGGAGGTAAATTGCCTTTGAACTGCCTCGGGTTGCAAGCACAGCCCTTCCCAGAGCAAACCCGAGCTCCCTCTGCGGCTGTGACTGCGTCACCCGGAGCAGAGCCATCCCTGCAGGATGCGAGGGGCTGGGCTTGCACCTGGAGCGGGGCGGGGGGAGGAAAAGCAGGATCAGGCCCGTTTCCCTCTCCAATGGGGCCTCGCAGTGAAGAGTTGCTTATTCTGGCACAGGACTGGGGCCCCAGCATGAGATGTGGATCCCGGCGTGCGACAGGGATCCCGGCGTGCCACAGGGATCCCGGCTTGAGACAGCGGTCCCGGCTTGAGACAAGGAACCCAACATGGGGCTGGGGTCCCGGCATGGGACAGGGATCCTGGCATGGGACTGGGATTCCAGCATGGGACTGGGGTTCCGGCATGGGACAGGGATCCCTGTGTGGGACTGGGGTCCTGGCATGGGACAGGGAACTCAACATGGGGCTGGGGTCCCGGCATGGGGCAGGGATCCTAGCGTGAGACAAGGAACCCAACATGGGGCTGGGGTCCCAGCATGGGACAGGGATCCCGGCACAGGACTGGGCTCCCTGTGTGGGACCGGGGTCCTGGAATGGGACAGGGAACTCAACATGGAGCTGGCGACCCAGCATGGGACATGGATCCCGGCATGGGACAGGGATCCCGGCATAGGACAGGGATCCCAGCATGTGCTTGGGCTCCCTGTGTGGGACCAGGGTCCTGACATGGGACAGGGAACTCAACATGGAGCAGGGGTCCCAGCATGGGACATGGATCCCGGGATGGGACATGGATCCCAGCATGGGCCTGGGCTCCCTGCATAGGACTGGGGTCATGGCATAGGACTGGGACCCCAGCATATGAGAGCCCTGGGAGCAGAGATGCAGGTGCTGGGGGCTAATCCCCCCCTTCCAGGGGCATTCCCTTCCCCAGCCCGGGGGAAAGAGGAGCGTGTGGGGACGGGCTGGGGGAACCGGGGCATTTGGGAAGTAACGCCAAACTCTGCGCCCCATGGATTTAATTTACTCCCTGGCTGTGTGGCCAGATGGTGAGGGGTTTTGTCCCTTTCGAAGGTTGTGCTGCAAGCCTGTGTTTGTCCTCTAGACGCTTTAAAATCCCAAACGCTTCTTCTCATGGCCCAGAAGCAGTTTTAACTTAACCACGGGTTTGGTTTTTTTTTTGCATTGCAGATGTCCCAGGGACCCACCTGATGACCTCTGGGGACAGCACAAGTGCTCTGTGCTCATCCTGTGCCTGTGTCCTCAGGATGCTGCCATGGCAGAACCACTCGGAGAAACAGCCCTGGGTTGCTTTGCCTCGGTTTCCCTAGATGAGGGGAGCTTCTCTGGGAGCCGGGCTGGAAGAGGAGGATGAGACGCAGGAGACCCCCAAGGATGGGGAGGTAATTTGGCTCCGGGTCGTTTGCAAAGCGGACAGTGAGACCAGAATTAACAATTTCTCAAGCAAAGCAGATCAGAAAGGCCAGAACGGTAAATAAATAACCCAGTGAAATAATCCCATCAGCTCCAGGGAAATCAAAGGCTTAGCGTTTGCCCTGTGCCTCTTGGGGGGTTTCTCCGGATCACGGAGATGATGCCAGAGGAGGCACCTCATTGCTGAGCTCCTCTGGACAGGGATGCTTTTCATGCCCTGCTTTTTGAAATAAGGCAGCAGTGGCCCATGCGAGTCTGCAGGTGCGAACTGGTCCTTCTGGAAACCTCAGGGAGTTTTGGGGTGGATGTAGGGAATTTGTTCCGTTGCTTCTTCTCCTCCTGCCTCCCCAGCAGCAGCAAGAGCAGGTCCCAGCTCT